AAGAAAGGGGATCCCAAGTGTCAAGGTCACATTAGGAAGAGAAAATAATGTTAAGGTTTTTTAATCTTTGGATTATGATTGAAAACTTTTAAAAAATTACAGTTTACATCTACCACTTGAGTTGTGCTCTTTCTAGCCCAGATTATCAAAACCATCCTCTCTAAAGTGGCCCGATGTACAATCTGCGAAAACAGAGAATACAGAACACCATGGGCAAGGCTTCAGGTAGAGAGACTGCAAACCAGCCCGGCACAGGGGGAAGGTCTTGAGAATGGGCAGCCTCTGAGCCATGCATGTCTCCTTAGTGCCCAGGCAGCCGGAAACCCACAGCCTGCAGCATCGAAGGAGCTGGTGCGTAAGCCATGAAAACAGACCCACCCAACCCGAGCCCATCAGTCAAACCCCAAGGCTCATTTTCACTTACTTTGGAATTCTTGAGTGTGTTGGGCGTGCTTTCTGGAATGGCGGGGTTCTTGGAGATTCGAGAAGCAAATGGCTCATACATGTGGTACAGAGACCGGATCACACATGCCCGGAGACAGCGCAGCTTCTCCATTGATTCAGGTCGCAGGCGCAAAGGCAGAGAGGCATCCAGCGTGTAGTGCCTGAAACATGACATATGACTCCTACCAAGGTGTGACCTGTCCCTCCTGGCTCCCTGCCGGTCTTCTGCTCTCTGTTCCACTTTATGAAAGAGCACATCTAGCAACTGATCAACGATGCACAGACGTCTGTTGCTCACAGAGCACCTGGACTGGTGAGGAACCACCAAGCTCTCCTGTGAGCTGTCTCAGCAAGTGCTCTTCTGCCCTCTCTGCACACCCTCCCCTTTCTGACAGCCGACAGCCTTCAGGAAGGTTTGCCCCGCCAGCACCAGCCCTTACTGCGCAGCCTTCCTGATCGACAACTCCCTCCCTGCTCTCTACTACAGCTGTGCACGCGGCAGCACAAGACCCAAAATGATGAGTGAGACACACTTCTAGGATGGCTAGAAGAACCTCGGCAACAACTGAGTGGATAAGCGGAGCGGCATCTGAAGCTTTGGAAAACTCTGGCTAAGGTACGCCGCCAAAGAACGCCAGAGAAAGTTCTGTCTGGGGACCTAAAGGGCACTGCTTTTTCTGGAAGGATCTACTAGGGGTGGGGGTGGTGTGGGGATGCCACCACAGGGAAGACAATTACCTGGATGCATTACTAATATCAAGTTTAAATCAGAGAGGGGCACAAGGAATCCAATGGTAGGCTCATGCCGGGGTAAAGAGTAGAGAAAGCGAAAAGAGGTCACCATCCAGGGAGTAGCTCCAAACCACAAACAGCCACACAGACAGATAACAGCAAGCTCCCGGTGGTCGCACCTTCGGTACAACCTGGTCCAAAAGGCAGCAGTGCAAGTGACAGTCCAGGCATTCTTACAAATCAGGGAAAAATTCACAATGTCCTCAGGACGGATGTAGGAAGCCAGCAAGAGCCAGATATCCATGGGATACTCTTCTCCTCCAGCCCCGTCCAGGTCTTCTGAAACAGAGAGAGAGCCACAACCTTTGACTTTGTACAGCACACATCCCTATGGCCCTCGGGTCACTTTAGTTCCCCCAGCAGTTGCACAGGAAAGAAAGGGGTTTGAAATAGGCCCAAGGCAGGCTCTCAAGAGCATGATTTCCTGCTTATTCAAGCTAGTTGGAACCAGCCTCCACTGCCCATGTGGACAGGTCTTGTTCTTAAAGGTAAGGCCTTTATTTAACATCTTGGGGAAAAGACGCGGCCTTCTACCCCAGTAAAGCACTGTTAGTCTTCTGTATTCACAGGGCGCAGTGCTGCCCTGTCCTATAGGTCGATATGAGTCAGCAGCGATTCATGGCAATGAGTTTGGTTTGGGGTTTAACATCTATCTCTGCACTATTTTAAAGCTTTCACAGTAGCTTTGCATGCAGTCTATCATTCAACTCCAATAATTTTGCAAAGGAAATAAAGAAAATATTGCTGCACACATTTTAAGGAAAAAAGTATAACCTTGTCAACATAAATAGAACTTGAGTTTGCTCTTTTCTGCACTAACCACCTTGTCCTTTGTGTTTCTCAGGGAGTGCACCCTGACGGTAGCATCGAACTTCCCACTGAGATATGCAAAGCAATGCCAGAACAGCTTCGTGGTGTTTTATCTCAGGTTTTCCATTTCTATCTTGTACATTTCACAGCATACCTACAAGTGAAGGTTTGGTTTTTTATTTTGTATTGTGAATTAGGTGAAGGTTTACAGAGCCGGTCATCAGTTTTACATTCAACAGCTCATACTTTTATCAATAAATCATTTTATTGGGGGCTCTTATAACAATCCATACATCAATTGTATCAAACTCATTTTCAAAACATTTTCTTTCTGCTTGAGTCCTTGGTATTAGCTCCTCTTTTTCCCTCCCTCCCCACCTTCCCACACTCATGGGCCCCTGATAAATTATAAATTATTCTTTTTATATCTTATACCATCCACTGTCTCCCTCCCCCACGTTTCTGTTGTTCATCCCCCTGGGGGGTAGGTTATACATCCATCACTGTACACAGGAGCCTTTCTTCCACAGTGCCACCAAGTGAGTTCCAGCTGCCAGCCTCGACAAGCGCAGCTCACACCAGGCGCCCCGCCCAGGGGCCCCCAGCCA